TATGCATGATTATGATAGCTTTACCTTTAGATCATAATATCCATTTGGTTTATCTGGGTTACACCAACGTAGATCTACACTCCAGCGGATTATGTTCGAATTATTCATCAAACTTATGAAAAATAAATATAATCAAAGAAAAATGAATTATAATGAGCTCCTGGAAAATGCGCGTGTGCATCATTTTTGTATACAAAGGTACGCGCGCTTTCAACTGTTATTGCTTTTGCAGGTTAACAGAATTTATCTACTTTTCCAGCATGGTTGCATGCAGCCAATAATTTTTACATGTAGACTAACCTACAATACTACCTGTAATGGCGCCGACAAACATTTAGCGATCCTATAGCGGGCAGCGAACTAGGCATCTCACGTGCACGCTCTCTGATGATTCTAAGTGACTATTGACCTTATGCTAAAAGCCACAGGAAAGGAAAAAGCATTTCCATTGCATTGTTTGAATCATCAATAGTCAGGATTTGAAAAAGCATGCTCACATTATAGTAATTTAGCAACATTTCATTCACTCTAACACAAATATATCTGAAAGTTACAGCGTTTGGAAATTAGGAGGATTCGTATGAAAATATAACAAAGAGATCATAAATAACAGAGGGAAACTTCTTAATAACGCACGCGCCATGTAAATTCCCGGTTGGGCTATCTTTAGTAACCGGATGCAGTTTAAATTTCACCTTACCATACGCCCGTGTGTCATCAACTTGCGCATGTGCTCTCCTTCCGTTTCGTTTTATTAGTTTTATTATTTTTGTGATCACTAATAAAACGAAACGGAAGGAGAGCACGCACGCAAGTTGATGACACACGGGCGTAGAGTAAGGCGAAAATTAAACTGCATCCGGTTACTAAAAATAGCCCAAACGGGAATTTACATGGCGCGAGCTTTATTAAGAAGTTTCTTCTTATTTATGCTCTCTTAATATAACTGATAACGTTGCCAGTCTTGTTTTCATTTTTTGTGTGTACATATTTCAATTTCTTGTAACTAACTTTAATTGCTTGAAACTATGCACATTTACTAATACACTAGTGATTTTTCAGCGAGAGAATATGAAGTTGGTAGCAAAACATTTATCTTGTGCACTCATACCTTCTATGTGGAACCATGTTGTTAATGAAGAGTACCCCACCAAATGGAACTTCACACAAGACTATGTCTTTCTCCATGTCAACATCTAATCAGAAGATATATTAAAACTATTTTTTAAAGATTACAAATAAAGCACAACTAATATTAGAACTAAATATATTTGTTTTAAAGGATAATGTAATCAATCCAAATGTCAAGACAGACATTGCAGAGTAATTGATGGAAGAATGCAGGAGAATAAAAAAGGAGATTTACCCAAATCTTTGACCATGTCTTCTTCTTTAAGCTCCACATAAAGAGTAGGACCAGAACAGCAATAATGCTTTGCTAAAAATCCTTTCTTGTGTCCTCCTTTTCCTACCTTCAGAAAAGGAAAATTATATATTTTGATATTTTAAAAAAGATTAAAAGAGTTTATAGCAATCATATTATTTAATAAGTGAACAGTACTTTGTATTTAATATTTTAAATTGTATATGCATCTAGGATTTTAAATTATCATTCTATCTTTACAGTGTTGGTTGGGAGGTTATTGGGGAAAGTTTTTCTATAGATCTTATTTAATCAATCTTGAAAAATTACGAGAGTTGCTCAAACTATACCAGAGAGCAGACGACTGTACTTTAATTTTCTATTATGGTTACTAGGTTTTTTCACAGCCTACTGTACCTCCATGCATCCATTCACTTTATTTGCATCTACAAATGGGATCCAAGCAGTTGCCATAAGAGTTTCATTAGCCTCATCAGACAGATAGGCATTATCTGAAAATACAAAACAAATTGATTGAAAAAAATATATGGTGGGTGAGGGGTGGGGGGACGGAAGTTATCAACCACAGGTATACCACAGCCACAACATTTCTACACTGACTTGCCTTGATGCCAGGGAACAGTCACTTGGTTATTCTTTGGAACCTGCAAGAAAACATTTAATTGAGCAATCTGAATGTATAATTTGGGGGTTTGCAGAATGTACAAAAAAATACCTTTGTTCTAAGGTTCCACACAGGGTGCCCAGCAATATCTGGTCCAATCATTTGCTCAACAACATTCAATAATCTCTCATTGGACCACAAGTCTTGAAATGCCTGCATTGGTAAGAAAAGTACATCACTTGTCTCATTATGCTGGCCAAAATCTAATAATTTTCCATTTCCCTTTTGGAAACCAATTTTTTAACTGAACAGTTTGCTTGGGTGGTGTGCACTGCTTAGAGCAATCTTTGGGAATCTTTGCATGACTGTGAAAAGCACAGTACCGTAAGCATTCCTTGCTGTAACGTTTTCTAGAATTTTAATTGGACACTGCATGAACACGGCACAGACACGATCAGGCCAATGGTCATGTCACTACCAGACCATAATCACATTGCACCAGAAATTGCTGTAATGCGTCACCTCTCACCAATGCGATCTAGTTTGAGTCCTTCATGGTGGGCCGTGGTGTCGTATGTGAGAAGAGTTATTTGTTGGTTCTCTCCTGTGGGTTTTTCCTTTGGTTTCTTTGTTTTTTGCTCTCTTCACAAAAATCAACTTCTAAATTCCAATTCGATCTTAAAGGAGTGATTACAAGAAGCAATTTTCTCTGCAACTTGTCTCGCAATGGTGTTGCAACAAAAGTTGCATGGACCATTGCAGTGTGTAGCCTACAGTAACATTGTAAAAATGTTGCAAGACAAGTTGCAGCAATTGTTTGTGTCTCAGTTGCACCTTGAAACACTCATGCAACTAGTGCCGCAAGGCTGTTGCAAGACAAGTTGCAGAAAAAATTGCACCATTTAAATGCGTCTTAAACGATATTCTTCATAGGGTTATAGCCTATCATATATCTCCTTTTAAACTATAATGCGAATACAATTAAGTTGGTTCATGTTTATTACCTTTGGCATAAATCCAATCTTATGGACAAGGATTGCTGCTCCGGGAAACTCTTTCTCTAACAGTGTCAATCTGTCATTAAAGGAGGCATCTTCATGCTTATCTGACACAAATAAAATTATAACAATATTATAGAAAAAGAATTAATAATTTTTGTGTACAATTAATTTATTCCCAACCCCCTCCCAAAACATCGATCATTTCGTAATTCCACAAAAAAACAAGAATCTATAGTACTCTGGTCTTATATTACTTGTTATTTTTCCAGCTTTATAAAGTCTCTCTGCGACTTCATCAACGAGTGCATTTATAGCTTCAATGACGGGCTGTAACTCTTCGTCTGTGAAAAATTTCGTAACCAAAACATACCCCTGTAAAAAATGAAAAAAAAATTCAGTTACCAAGCTCGGCAAACATATGAGTACCCTTTCGTTGTATAAAAGTCTCGACTGTTCGACTACTGATTTAGGAGCATACAAGTACCTCGTCAAAATACTGCTGCAACTGCTCCTGACTTAGCTGTCCTGGTTTCCTTTCTTTAGGTTGAGTTGGAACAGTTGTGTAGATCTCTGGGGTTTTGGAAAACCGGGCCGGCATGTTGTTTTGGAGGCAAGCTCAAACTGTCCGGGATAAATAGACCACTGACAAGACGGGACGATCACGGGACTTGTTTGAACAAATGATGATCTAAGAAATCTGCAGAGAGAGACAATAAAAGCGTTACGTACGTTACGTACTAGATTTGATATTTAAAAGCAATGTATAGTACAAAAGATAGAAAACATTAACATATGTACACAAAAAATATAAATATATAAATACACTAATTGAAGAATCGTTGTCGGGTTCAGAAACATAGAACATAAAAGCTGAGACCGAAAAGTCACATGGGAAATGACATAGTTATATTATAATTTATTCATTTGCGCCATCCATTCAGTCGGTTTAGAATGCCAAACGCGTATTAAAACAGTAGCCTCCTTTGCAGCCGTTCTTCGGCTCAAGTAAGCAGACGTTTGTGGGGAGGGAAACGTTGCGTGACGACTCTAAGAACGGCTGCAAAGGAGGCTATAAAAACAGTGGATGATGCCACGGGTCGCCGGTCACGGCATGCATCTAATTAACGTACTTCCCATGTGAGATTTCGGTCTCAGCTTCTATATTCTATGTTTCTGAACCCGACAACGATTCTACGGAAATACAAAGTATTAATTGAAAGAATAAACAATCAAAGGTACAGTGTGCCCTAGAATAACTAAAAAGCTAAACTAGCTAGGCCACAGACAAAAATTGATAGTTTTAAATTTTTAGGTTAGGGAAGGGAGGACGATTGATATACTAGAGTACAAACACTAAAACTGTGCAACACTTTGCACTATTTAGTAGTAAATAGTGCTAATTAAAACTCACCGACTGATAAGTTTGGGCTAGGTACCAACGTGGGATCCGGTTTCGTGAGAAAACCTAACCCCCAGCAAGTAGGTAACCATGGCAACCGGGCCACAGCCCAACGCTGGTACCTGTCACACTGTGAAACAGTGGAATTCATATTTACCTATGGGGGGGGGGGGGGGGGGGGGGGGGGGCATACTTACCTTTACCAGAGGAGGGAGGCAGGGGCAACTAAAAAACCTTCGCTGCAAAGATGGCATACAAACTAGCTAGCAGCAAACGCGCCCCGTGCAAGGCGCATGCGTGAAGAGGACGAGCCGCTTAAGTATTGAGCCGCAGGCTCAGACGTGGTTTTAACTTTGCCTAAATTACATCTAGCCTCATTTATACAATAGAAAACAATAGGATTAGCATGTAGCAGTATTTAGTGGTATTTATGTTACACACTTATAGTGTTTGTACTCTATAATAGAAAAAGAAAAAGGAAAATAGTAATTTTTTTTTATTAATTTTTTTTTATAGAAATTATTATATCTATATATATAATGGAAAAAATGTATTAAGTCAAATAGGGAAATTAGACAAAAAAGACCCGGGGGGAGGACTCCGGGAAAAAAGTACCGGGGATGCTCGTCGGAAATTTTCAAAAAGACCCCTAAAAGATACCGATAGTCTTTAAAAAAGGGCGTGGCTGAATGATTTTTAACCCCTAAGAGCACAGGTAGCCCAAGCTTGGTTTCTGTGGTGTCCTGTCATAAGGAAATGTATGGGGATTCATCAAAAATTTCAATAAAATCATTAAAACGTGAAATAAAAGCATCGAAGTTTTACCCGATCATTGATAAATAACACTTCTTTCGCTCTGTTTGAATTTAGCCCGTTTTAAGATTTTTTTTCCTTACTGGTGGGGAAAAAATCTTAAAACGGGCTAAATCCAAAAAATAACCTCACAGAGCGAAAGAAGTGTTATTTATCAATGATCGGGTAAAGTTTCGAGGCTTTATAATTTCACGTTTCAATGATTTTATTGACTTTTTTGATGAATCCCCATACATTTCCTTATGACAGGTCACCACAGAAACCAACTAAGAGATACCACAACAAATAATATTAAATTAAAAGCGCCTAGGATAAGCCATACCGATGCACGCTTCTCTCCTTTTCCGACACCCTAAGAGATACCAGAAAATGCTGATTTTTAAAAATTTGCATTTAACACCCTAAGAGATACCAAATCGCGAATTTTTACCCCAAAGAGATACGACGAGCATCCCCTTCCACAGTCTCTCGCTCGTCCGTTCCGTCTCCACGCTTAGAGACTGTAACGGTACAATGACCGAAAGGACTTATGGACTTATTACGAACCGGAAGTGCAATATTTGAATCCTAGTTTTCAACGGAAAAAAATTAGCAAGCGCTAGACTTGACTTGGAGCAAAACTACTACCCTACAGAACATGTATCATGATATTTTTAAATAATAGTAATAATATAGTTGTAATGCCTTTTTCTCTTTGTCACATGTTATGAGCTGTGCTCTAATATGATCGTTGCACTTTTTGCGTTAGTTGCTTTAGGGTCAGGGTCACGCTATACGTGCAGGTCATAAACTTTTACTCGGACTGTCAACAGCTAGCTTTTGAGAATCAGTAAATGCGTGACCTTCGTACCGTAATTCCAAACGCTTAACTTTTGCTGCAAAAGGATTTCAGAAAAATGAATGAAGCTTTTGAATTCAACTCTGGTATCGACCTTCTTAAGGAAAGTTGCCCTACTCAGCTCACGAAATTTTATACTATAAAACGAGTTTTAATTTGACGAGTTTCTCCATTAAACCAACAGAACTAATTAATTTTCTCTTGACTATGCTGTATTGTGTTGTTGTTATATTATTCGGTAATACAGAGTTTCTTAGAGGAATTAGTTTTTCAAGAAGGGTAATATAAGTAAGAGAAAATGAACTAAGAGAAGGAATCCCCGTGCCTCATCATGTGCGCACTTTGATGCTATTTTTAGAATCCATTCTGAAAATATCATCAAATGATATCATTTATTTGATCGTTTGATTTTCTGCACGCGCATCAGTACGCGCACGCTCTACGCTGTTTGCTACCGTTTTCTTGCGCTTTTCTTATGTTCAAATGTTCAAATCTGCCCTCAAGATGACGATGTAGGTCGAAAGCTTTGGAAAATAAATGTAAAAATACTCCAGAAAGTTGAACAAATTACTACTTCCATTTCCTGTTGTATTTGGCAAGCTTTCGACGCGCACATTCACATTCAGGGCAGAGTCGAAATAACGAAAAAAGCCCAAAAACGTAAGCAAACAGCGTAGAGCGCGCGCAGTAAATGCGCTAGCAGAAAAACAAATGGTTTAAAAATAGCATCAAACTGTGCACATGATGGTTACAAGGCTATATAGGGGGAATTCCTTTTCTTAGTTTATATTCTCTTCATATAAGTTACTAATTCTTCACAGCAATAAGCCCCCACTCACCTCGTGGCCCGCACTTCGTAGTTAGCCACTCCCTTGAAATTGTATTCCTGCACTCTACCACCATAATAATTTACCGTTATGCTTTTTTATGTATTAATTTATATTGTTGTAAGTGGAAATAAAAAACCTTGTAAACCTTATATACTGGATCGGCCATTGGAATATCCTGTTTTGTCTTTACCAAGTCATACTATAGCTGGATGAAAAATCAGATAACCCACGTAAAATTTCGCATTAAATCTTAATGTATCGTCATTCTTTCCCATCGATCAAAACACCAAATAAACGCGAAAACTACTTAAAAAGAAACAAAGGAAGACAACTGCATAGAAAAATTTAGGATATATTCCCGAAAAATAGATGAAATTGAGGACACCAACACAATTGAAAATACGGGAAGCCTGCTCTCTTTTTTTATTTTGGTCTTCTAAATCATGAAAATCGTATAAACAATGTAGTCTATTTTTAATCTTTTTAGAATGGAATGGAAGTAAAATTTACTGTGTCTGACTCGAGTTCACTCGAAAACCGATATAGCACTCGGATTCGTTTTGCAATTCATGAATGCGATATCGGTTTCTCATGAATTCAACGTGGAATTCCCACTAATTTTACTGTAGAATCTATTTTTGTTGTTGTTGT